AGTTTACAAAAATATTGATAAAATCATCCAGAAATTTTAAAATAATTGCTGCCACWGGTGGATCTCTAAGCTCACGCTCAGAATATGTTGTGGATTTAAACCCAAAGATTTTTCCTTCAATGTTTCTTTAAAATACAAGTTCTTCATGAGTTATTTTACTAACAGACCCTTACAAGTCACAGCTCCAGTACGTTACCAGGACTGCATCCTATTTTTTATTCTGTAATAAGGACAAATTGAATCTTGTTTCTATTCCCTTTTATAATTTATCAGAAGGAGCTTAAGTTTAAAAAGTAAAGCTGAATTTAAAATATTCAGTTTGAGTCTGACACCTCAGTCATTTTCTGATATTTTGATAYTAAACTGTTTGTTTCCGCTGGGTTTTTATTTCCTGTGGATAAGTGCTCACTTTGCTGCCCCTCCTGTTCGCTCCATCAGGGTGAGGAGGGTTTGTGGTAACGCGGCCAGAGGCACGCTGGGAGGGTGGGCGGTGAGGCCGTGTGGGCGGCGGGCTCCGTTACGCCTGCCAACGGCTCGGAGGATGTCGAGGAACGCTGCGGGGAGACGGAGAGCTGCGCATGAACAGCAGAAAAACATTAAATAACACGTGAGTGCTGAGGGTTATTTTATTATTTTATGATTATTTATCCAATAAAATAAAACATACCACGAGAATTMTGTCTGTTCTTCATTTTCCAGTCTTCTAAAACAGAAAAACCTACAATAGCAACCATTTATCCATCCATCTTTAGCCATCCATCCAGAATCCAACAGTTTAAASCTACACCACATGTCAAACTGAAGGCCCGCAGGCCAAATGTGGCCCGCCACAGCATTTAACTGGCCCACAAGAGCTTCAAAGATGTAYTAATGTCTTTAAGATAAGCTGCTTTGATCATAAACTACATTTCCCATAAGGCATGCTGATTATTTTACCTGCAAAACGGCGGCCTCCCACCACTAGGTGGAGCTGCACAGGGCTCAAAAGTATCAGGTGAATTTAGTAAAATCTCCATTTTGTGTCATTTTCACCATTTAATTTTGCTGCCCAGTTGTATTGCGAAGTGAGAATTTCTATAGATTTAAAATGGAACCAGTGGGAATTCCCAGTAGGAATGTGGGAGAGTTCAGAATTCAAGATGGCTGCTGCTCACCGAAACTCAACAGAGAGTAAAACTCTCTTACGTTTACTTTTAATAGTATTTCTGCTTTATTTATTTCACATTCAGTCAGTCGTATTATAGTAATTTTCTGTAGTTGTGTTTCCATTGCAAATGTGCGCAAAACTTTGTCGACATTCTGTTAATGTCGAAAAACACAGTTTTGCAATTGCAGTGTTTCCATTAAGTAAGAAATGCTATTAAAGTCACGTGAATACGTTTGTTCTCGCAATAAGTCATTACAAACATGGCAGCGATGGATGTAAACACATAGCATGTTGCTACCACGACACTAGCGCTCATCATCAGAGGAGACGTCGGCATCTTATCGAGGCTTTTGAGTGACAAGCTCCTCATACTTGGGAGCGGATACGTATGCGGCGTTATTGGGAAAATGTAGTCGGTGAGTTTACTACTTTGTTGATTTCACTACTTCTACTTCCTGTTATCTTCATCATCGTCTTTTTCTCCAGTAGAAACAGACGGTTGTTGGTCACGTGACTCCCATGATGCGAAAAGTGTTTCCATTGCAGTTTTGCGAAAAACACCTATTTCGATACGGCTGAAAAACCACCTCATCCTAGCGCAAAAACATTTTGTCAAAAAAAGGAAGTTTTTTTGAAATTGACGTGTTTCCATTGAGCAAATTTATTTTTAAAAAATTCTACTTTGCACATTTTCATGATCAATGGAAAYRCAGCTAGTGWTTATAAGAGGTGTTAAMGAGCTGTTTCTATGCAGGAAATACCAGGTAGAGCTCAGTTAGTGTTTGTTAGTGGGGCTCAGCCATATGAGAGGAGGAACGTGATGTTCTGGATAAACTCTGGATATGTCACCAGTCCATCATATAGTCAAACTTAGGACGGAGTTAGAATCACAGAATAAAGTAATATTCATGTTTTTGGACAGGGAGAACAGAAAAACTCCAAACAAACAAACAAACAAACAAAAAAACCTCAGAGGTTCAAATCTGAGCAAAGAGACGAAACCACAGAAGCAGGTTTAAAAACAAAACCTCTTTTAAAAATCCTGTGAGGAGGCAGCAGAGTCTGACGGCTCACGTCCCGGTCCTCATTTATCGACCCTCGTTTTGTTTTCAGGCCAGCGAGGCAGAGCTGGCAACACAGTGATGTCCTGGAGCCGGGCCAGAACCCCGACCCACTTCCTGTCACCAGCCGCCGGCGTGAGGAGCGCCGTGACAAACACAGCGACAGCGGCGTGTTCAGAGGAAACTCGACAACATAACTTCCTGTCAAACATGAAAAGGGACGGGAGATGAAGAACCGAGGGGCGGAGCTTGCTGTGCAGTTAATTAGCCTCAGGGCGGAGGGATTAATTATATAAAATAAATCTGTGTTTTCTGAGGTCCAGGTGTGGAGTTCTGTCAGAGGACACCTGGATGAGAGGCGCTCTAAGGCGGGAGTTCACAAAGTTGGGGTAGGGACCCCTCTGTGGGTCGTAAAACATCAAGCGAGGGTCCCAGAGGAATTTGAATGCAAATATATTTTAATGGAATATTTTCACCATAATAGAAAAATAGAAATAATAACTACAGAAACTGCATTTCCTGAGAAAACACTAGTGTGAATGCTTCCTGCTGAAAACTTTAGCTGAAAGCTGCTGAAATCGAGCTGAAAATATTCAATAGGAGAAGTGTTAATGTTAGCTCACTTTGAAAGAAGCAAAAAAAAAAGCATAATGTTGCAGAAAAACAGTAAAAAGGAGCAAAAATCTAATTGAAAACAGAGAACACCTAAAGGCTAAGAGCTAAAATAGCTGAATGTACATGAAAACATCTGTAAGAAGCATAAATAGCACAAAGCAGAAAAAAGCACAAAAAGTATAAAAAGCGGAAAAATAGCAAAAAGCAGATATATAGCTAAACTAGCATAAAATAGCTAAATTTAGCATAAAATAGGCTAAAGGTATCAGGCACAGTTGTAAAAAATAAGTTGTAAAACTAGCAGAAAAAATGCATATATGTTCAAAAAAGTGATCATTTGTAGTAAAATAGCTAAAACAGCTGAAATTTTCAGTAAAACTATTTTTTTAATTATAGCATAGGGAAGCATAAGGAGCACACGTTTGCTGAACCTAGCTGCAAAAAGTTGTAATAGTTACAAAAATGTGTATTTAGATTAGAAAAGCTAACTTTAGCTAAAGACTTGACTGTAAATCTGACTGTAGACTTGACTGTAGACCTGAGTGTAGACCTGACTGTAGACCTGACTGTAGACCTGACTGTAGACCTGACTGTAGACCTGACTGTAAACCTGACTGTAGACCTGATTGTAGACCTGATTGTGGACCTGACTGTAGACCTGATTGTGGACCTGACTGTAGACCTGACTGTAGACCTGATTGTGGACCTGGCTGTGGACCTGATTGTAGACCAGATTGTAGACCTGACTGTAGACCTGACTGTAGACCTGATTGTGGACCTGATTGTAGACCTGATTGTGGACCTGACTGT